ATTGCAACATCCACATTGTTCATTTTGTGACAAGTATTTCTAACAATTTTGAATACATATTTACTGTATAATACATTTTACCAAGAGGCACTTCCAGTAATTCTGGCAAAAAGGAGCTTCATTATAGTGTCTAACTTACAAAACAGTAAAAATAAATAATGTTTATCTAAAAGATTTTTTCCTGTACAGAATCTATTTTGTACAAAACATTTATCAGCCATTAACTAAATCACTTAACAAATACTTGTGAAGAGAATATATTAAGTATTGCTACATGTATCGAGTGCAAGATACTAGTGAAAGGAAAAGAATTATTCTGTTTATGAAAATCACCTAAAAATACAAGGCCTTGTTCCTGAAGTGTTTAGAAAGGAGAAGCTTGGTTACAACAATATTGACAATATATAAATATAAATTAACGTATGTAGTACTTAGTGAAAAGAACACTGTGTTAAAAACTGGTGTGTACAAATCCTAAACAAGATGGCACTTTTCTGCATTGCCACTTTGGCTGGCAGTTATTTTTTAAAATATTGCTTCAAAAGAATTATAAAGGTACACAAAACCCCTTTTCAAATAGAGCCGTATAAAATTACACTTCCCCCACCTTTTCCTCACCTTCTGAAGTGAAAAAAAAAAAATCGAGGAGGGATTAAATTTGAAGAACATGGGTGATTTGTGGAAACTTGCTACTAGAGCTGAGTCTGAATAAGCATCATTAAAACAATTTTGTCTGAGGTGCGGTGCCCAGGCCAGGAGCCTCACAGGATAGGATGTAAGGTGACCAAACTCCTCAGTGTTTTTCGAAGTAAAAAAACTTTGGCTGGCCTGTGGTCAATTTTAAACTACAAATTTTGTATAATTTGGACCTAAAGTCTGGTGGGGGTCAAGTGCTTCAATTATATTGGCACACCCAAAACTTTCATTCAGAAAGGGTTTTGATCTTGCTAGGTTAATTTCTTGATTACTTTACCGAAATGGGATTTTGAAATTTTTTTATCACATCTTCTACATGATATACATACTTCATATTGTTACCCAGATGGCCAAACTGTACTGGAAAACAATCACTTTTGGAAGGTATTTCTTCCACAACTGGAGGCAAAGGTTACAAAATGTGTTTCTGTAGGAAAATGTCCAAGATGTTCTTTAATCAAAAGCACTAAAAAGAAAAAAAAACTGCCACCCGTCAGTGAAAATGTTAATCTGTTAATCAAACATAACCTACAGTATGAATCACGGCTTTTTTAAAAGTGAACTTAAATTACTTTCCATCATGCAAACATCTTATATCGATTACTCAAGAAAAAAAGACTTAACTTTAGAAAAGTAATGACCAAATGTACGCTGACATGATTGAAATATTGAAAATATCATCAACACCACATAGGAGTTATTAATGTTGTCTTTGATCTTTTGGGATACCATCTGCAGTATCAAGGTTTACAAACATCTAAAAATCAACATTTTGCATTCAAATACAGATTTTCATTGTGTGTCAGGATCAGGCAGGAATTTTGAAAAGGAAAGACAGCTTTAACAGACAGCAGGCTTTCTACCTAAAGCAGTATGTACACACATGGCAAACCCCTCACTGTTTTCTCTCTGATCAGATCACAGAGCCTTTTTATTTCTTTTTTATGAAAGCATGGGGGCAAAATGACTTGTGTCAGGGGAGAAAAAAAACACCACCACCAAAACCCCCAGAACTCAATCTCCTTTAAATAAATACTTAGAAGCAAAGATCAATTGCTGATTCACATTAATTGTTTTTAAGTGTTCGCTGTGGTAAAGGAAGACCAGCTGAAAACTAGAGCATCCAAGCCTGAGGGCTGTAGCCGTGAGCAAACCACGGTAAGGTGGTATAGAGATGGATTACATTTCTCTAAGGTATTTCTCAAGCTATTTTGACAACAACCCTATGAAATTCGGCATTTGTTCTTTACCTGCCCCCCCAGTTCCTCCCCCCATGCCGGGCTGCCCCGTTCCGTCTGGGAATCCAGGCCATTTGTAAGCCAACAGTGCAAGCACAGCTCCCTCTGCAAGCCCAAGGAGAAGCCATCTAACACACACCTGCCTCACCAGGCCTGCAGCACACTCTGTATTTCGCTTATTTGATCTGATTTCTGCGGTTTTGAATCAGGAGAAGAGAATTCCATCACAAAAGGACACGTGGTCTGCAGCTGTGGCAAAGGCCTTCATACCTGCTCTTACGCTTCCACACAGAAAACAGAATTATTTGGGTTTCCCAGCTAATTTGCTGCTTGGATACATCCCTTTCTATACCTGCAGATTTCAGTGGTGCTCCTTGGTGCACACAGATCCCATATATCATCCATGGCAGAACAAGTCTCATCTGTTGCCCCATTCCCACACCTTGGACATACTACACACATGGCTTTGGAAGTAAGAAACAACTGGCACAGACTAGCCATCTGAAAAGCTCAAATGAAATAAATATGCTCTTCTTCTTCCTCCCCTAGCACGAAGCAAAGTTTTCCTTAATGAGGGAGAATTAAACAACTTCAGTCAAAAATTCTTCTTGGTTTACCATATCCTTGAGGTTGGCAGTGCACAACCAAGGCCAGCTGGCTTTACCCAAACTCATCAGCTCCCAGAAGAAGCAGTTTTACACGTGCAAGCACTCAGGGGGAATTTTTGCATACCC